TGCTGCGCCGTGACCTGACATGACGTGGCGTCCTCTATCCTCTTCCCAAACCTCATCTCTCCCCAGAAATGCGAGGTGGGCCCTCCCAAGTACTGTGGCTGTGGAGACATAGGTGGCAACTGCACATGCCCGGACGATGCGAACACACCGGCATGCGTGGCCGCGGCCCAGTTCAGCATCGTGATGTCGACGGGTCAACTCTCGCCTTTCGTCATAACGCCACATGGCACCCAGAAGTTGCTGGTGATGATTTTGGACTATGGTTCTTGTGGCTATGCGCCGTCCTTGACAGAGGACGACGTTCGCAACGTGTTCTTGGGGCCCAACAAGGATGGCCGAGGCGGTGTCGCGCAGAAGTACTCCGACTGCTCATACGGCAAGTTTGGCCTGAACACAACCGCCTTCATGGCGGTTCGCGTCAGCGTACCCTGCTCTACCGCCGTCACCAGCTCCTGCAGCTGGTGGGCCATTTCCCAGGGTGCCGATGCCGCGACCAAGAGTCTGATCGGCCTTGCGGCTTTCTCCAGCTTCCCGTACTTCACATACGTGCTGCCTCCGGGGTTGCAGAGCGTGTGCGCCTGGGCGGGCCTGGCTTTGTTACCCGGGCGCCAGACATGGCTGCAGAGCAGCGGCTACGGAGTCCAGCGCTGGGCGACGGTGATGCAGGAAGGCATTCACAACTACGGTGCGCGGGGAGGAGGGGGGTCTAAGAAAGCGTGGTGCGCCCGCGCGGGGTTGTGTGTTACGTGCCAAGATAGAGCATCATCATCTCACCATTTGTGTTGGGCCTTGCGTTCTGTTGTGTCATGTCATGCGGGTATGTGTGTGTGCATGTGTGTGTGCATATGTGTGTGTGTGCATGTGTGTGTGTGCATGTGTGTGTGTGCATGTGTGTGTGCATGTGTGTGTGCATGTGTGTGTATGATGCATGGCTATGTGGCCTTTCCACGCCTGCACCCGTCTCGCTACTGGGACCCCTTGCTGCCTTACAGCCTGCCCGCTAAGGTTCGCCTGTCGTGCGCTTTCCAATTGCGACATGTTTGTTCATGTCTGGAATCGTGACCTGCCTCTCTCTCTCTCTCTCTCTCCGTTATGTTCCCTCGTTCAGGCCTGTGGCACTCCTGGCGCAACGGCTGGGAATACGAGGACTACTCGACCGCCATGGGCCGTGGAGATGCCTGCCCCAACGTCGCGGAGACATCCCGACTGGGCTGGGCCACACCCGCCGTCGGCGGTGGCGCCATTAACTCCGGCGTCCTGAAGACCGCCGGCAGTGTCGCCAAATGTCTCTGCCAGC